TGGTACTACTAGTGGTGGTCGCAGTAGTGGTGCTACTTGAAGTACTAGTACTGGTAGTGGTAGTACTACTTGTGGTACTACTGCTACTTGTTGTAATACTTGTGGTGGTGGTTGTAGTGCTACTTGAGGTACTGCTGGTAGTAGTAGTAGTAGTACTACTAGTGGTACTGCTACTGCTCGTAGTGGTACTACTTGTTGTACTGCTACTGCTTGTGGTAGTGGTAGTTGTGGTGCTACTGCTGCTCGTAGTAGTGCTACTTGTTGTACTGCTACTGCTTGTGGTAGTGGTAGTAGTAGTGCTGCTGCTCGTGGTAGTACTGCTTGTGGTACTGCTGCTGCTTGTTGTAGTACTAGTGGTAGTAGTGGTACTTGAGGTACTGCTGGTGGTAGTTGTAGTACTGCTTGTGGTACTGCTGCTGCTTGTTGTAGTACTAGTGGTAGTAGTGGTACTTGAGGTACTGCTGGTGGTAGTTGTAGTGCTACTTGAAGTACTACTGCTGCTCGTGGCACTGCTACTTGTGGTGCTGCTACTACTTGTAGTAGTACTGGTGCTGGTGGTCGTGGTAGTAGTGCTACTTGTGGTACTGCTACTACTTGTAGTAGTACTAGTGGTGGTGGTAGTAGTAGTACTACTTGTAGTACTGGTGGTAGTAGTAGTAGTGCTGCTGGTGGTACTGCTACTACTAGTAGTAGTACTGCTAGTGGTAGTACTACTTGTGGTACTAGTGCTGGTGGTAGTGGTACTTGTAGTACTGCTACTGCTTGTAGTCTTAGTGGTGGTAGTAGTACTAGTGCTAGTTGTGGTACTACTGCTGCTGCTCGTAGTAGTAGTAGTGGTGGTGGTCGGTATTGCTGAAATATGAAACAATTGTGCTTTACTCAGTCAAATTAGAGAGAATTTATATTAAAAACATTAATGTGAGATTAAATAATGTAAGCAAAATTTCATTTGATTTCTGTCAATTTTTCAAATAATAGTCGCAAAAAACTAACTATCAATTACAACTTCATAATGTACTATTATATACAAATAACTTACGACAGCTGTTATTTTGAAGAGTGAATTGTTGCACTCGGCTATTATTTCGATCAGTAACATATATATTTCCATAGCTATCAAAAGCCATACTTTGTGGAAAAGATAGTTGATACATAGTCGAACCACCTCCAGAATACCCTATTATACATCGAAAACCATAATAACTTGAAGCAACAATACGATGATTATAACTATCGACAATAAAAAGATAACCATTAGCATCAAGGACAATTCCAGTTGGATAGTTGAGTGTAATATTTGCCGATGATCCATTACCAACGATTGTCAATCCATCTAACTGACCAGTTTGAACAAATTGAATACGATTGTTAGCACTGTCTGCAATATATAGGTTTGAATTACTATCAACATAGATTCCTTGAGGAGAATTAAGCATATTTGATAGTGATCCAGCAGAACCATTACCGGCTGCAATCGTCGGGATGGTTGTACCATTATTAAGTAAAAGTTTAACAACTTGATGAAGATTTTTAAGTGAACAATAAAGATTATTATTAATATCAAGAAATAAACTATAACAACTTCCATTAACATTCATAACAATAACACGATTTGATGTATTAAATGCATATTTATCGACTCGACCATATAAATAACCATTATCAATATAAGTGTCACCATTAATAGACATAAAAAGACTGTATGGATTACTCAAATTACTATAACTATTACTTGTTGATGTAGTAATCCCTTGAGGCCATGATAAAATAGTGTTACTAACTCGATTCGGTACATACACAGTATTAATTCCATTAATAAAAATACCATAAGGTAATGTACCAATTGTACTACTTAATGCAAAAGTTGATGCATTAGAATACCATGAAGCATTAGAACAAAATGTTGGTTGATTATAAGACAGGCCTAAAATAAATAAATTAAGATCATCGAAAACATAAATTAAAAAGTAACTTACTACATGAATTTGATGCTAATATAAACTTTTGCACTCGATAGTTAAATCTATCAGCGACAAATATATTTCCATAACTATCAAATCTTAAAATTACTGGCTGATTCAATTGACTTGATGCAGAACCAGCTACTGTCGTACATCCAAATAAACATCGAAAACCATATGGTCCTGATCCAATTATTCGATGATTAAGAGTATCCGTAATAAAAAGATATCCATTATCATCTAATATAATACAATTTGGCTGATAAAGTGTAATAGTTCCTGGTGCACTAGCTCCTGCTAAAGTTATTCCAGTAAATTGTCCAACAGGAAACATTTGTATTCTATTGTTCGAACAATCTGCAACATATAAATTAACTTGAGAATCGACAAAAATTCCAAGAGGCGTATAAAGTGTGGTCGCTGTCGATCCAGCTGCACCTGTACCAGCAACAATAGTTGATGTAAGTACATTATCATTTAACCATTTCTTAACAACTTGATGAGAAGTATATGCTGAACAATAAAGAGTATTACTAATATCAACAAAAATGCCAGCACATGCATTAGGAACTGACATTACAGAAGTACTTATATTTGAGTTGAATGAAAATTTATCAACTCGACGATTATTGTAACCATTATCAACATATATATCACCTATAGGAGTAACGAAAAGGTCAAATGGTGTACTCAGGCTACCAGAAAGAATTTTATCTGGATTAGTACTTCCTTCGAACCATACTAGAACCTTATTAGTTTGTGGATTAGCTACATAAACAGTATTGTTAATACTAACAAAAACACCGTATACGTAAGTTCCAGCCGTACTACTATTAGCAAATGTAATCGCATTTGTATACCAAGTCGTAGATGGACAGAAGCTTGGTTGATTGGTAGTTGTACCTAAAAAAAATTAATTAAAAAATTACTGATGTTATTTTTCAAACATATTCATCAAGTTAAATATTTCCTAATAGAAAAATATTAATCGTATGGTCGATCCTATAAAGATCTTAAGAAAGTTCGATAGTTTAATATAATCAGAATCAATTTCATTATTGTGTCTTACATAAAAAAAGAAACTAAAACTGGTTAATTCAAAATAAATCTTTTCAATTAGATTTTATCATAGTTGTTAAATTTTATAAAAAAAAGCTTTTATTTTACTTACTATAAATATTACTTGTTACATAAAATTTTTGAATCCGATGGTTGACATTATCAGCAACAAACATATTACCGTAACTATCGAAACTTAAACTTGTTGGATAATATAATTGATTAGATGCTGAACCTGCAACAGTTGAACATCCTACTAAACAACGAAATCCGTTTGGTCCTGATCCAACAATACGACTATTGTAATACTCTGCAATGAATACGTAGCCATCGGCGTCCAAAACAATTCCATGGGGACAATTGAGACTAATAGTTCCGGTTGCTCCAGTTCCGGCTATCGTTATTCCATTGAGTTGTTTTGATGGAAAGTTTTGCACCCTATTATTGCTACAATCAGCAACGTACAAATTGAGATCTGTATCAACAAAGATTCCACGAGGATTATAAAGCGTATTTGATGTTGCTCCAGCACAACCTGTACCAGCAGCAATTGTCCACATATTTGAATTACTATTCAATGATTTTGTATTAACTTGATGATAATTAAATGGTGAACAATAAAGGTTGTTATTAATATCGACAAAAAGACCACTACAGGCATATTTGACGTTCATTGCTACAGTACTATTTGTGGCATTTAATGCCCATTTATCCACTCTACTATTGGCATAACCATTGTCAATATAAATATCACCATTACTTGTAACGAAAACAGTATACGGAAGATTTAAACTGCCGGAAATATTTCTTGTGGGTGTGCTACTACCTTCACGCCAAACTTGAACACGATTTAAAGAATAATCACATACATATACCGTATTGTTATTATCAACAAATACACCGTAAGGATATGTTCCCACCACAGTAGTGTCTGCAAAAGTTATTCCATTGGCACTCCAAGTAGTATAAGAAATGAATTTTGGCATATTGTAGGAAATAGCTACAAAAAACATACATTCATTAATTTCCTATTTATCAAAGATACACCCACCCATTACATATCTACAGCCATGCCCTCAACTTTTTTGAAGCAAAATTCAAAATAAAACGTTTTCTCTCTTTATAAAGACACAATCAGAGACTGAGTTTATTTATTTTCTATTATTCTTTTAAAATTATTTCATAAATAATCGAACTATTCAAAAACAAAATTTCTATCTTATTAAATGATTGCATACGGTTTAAATATGGTGCAGTTGTAGAACTTATTCCAGGAACAGTTGTTGTTAAAGAAACTGATTGAGTATTATTCATTGAAGTAACTATTAAAAACAAATGTAAACTATTAGTAAAAAAATAAGTCAATAAAAAATTATTTGAAAATACCCGTGGTCATAGTTGTTACTGTTGTTGTTCCATCTATAAATAAAAATACGATTTTATATTATAATATGAGAGAATTAGTTTTAACTTACTACATGAGTTTGGTAGCAAAAGAAATTTTTGTATTCTGTTATTATATTCATCGGTGACAAATATATTTCCATAA